TTCCCTAAGGGTACACATTAAACTAGCTAATTTTATTGCTTTTAAAAAATATTTCCTTCGTAAAATGAGCTATGATTATTTGAAACACAAAGTGTAAGAGAGGGAAATTCTGTAAAGAGTGTGGTGGATTTTTTATGTAAACGGAAAAATAAAAAATAAATTTTAATGAGAAATTTTTGTTTAAGAAAATAAGAGAGAATAATTAAATTAAATTAAAAAATTTTTTAAATAAAATTACTGGACTAATTTGGGGTTAGAACAACGATATAAATTACTATTATTTGTCTAATAAATATTTTTTCTGAAATAATCGTCAAAATTGTGATGGAAACTCATAGATATTTTTGAAAAGAAGCAATAAATATTTGTAAAATTTTTAAAATATATGAACTTAAATTTTGATTTTTAATTTACAATTAGATTTAATGTAATTTCTAAGGAAATCCCCCTGTTGAAATCGTTACCAGCGTTCGCATATGAACAATAATACAAAAAATAATATGCATATGTTTGTGGACAGGAATTATGAAAAAATTGTAAGCAGGAGATATAAAAATCAAAGAAAGAAGGCTAAACTGCGGATCAAAACTGGTTTGTTTATAAAAATGTTTTTGTTGTTATTATAGTGCTTTGATATTAAAAAAATATTTGGTTGGGAGAGGGGAGGGGGGTATTTAAATTATATAAGAGGAAGAAATATAATAAGAATTGTTATGAAAGAATTGGAAATTGTTTATTTAAAAAATAAATTTTGGGGAAATTCTCCAAAAAAAGATTAATATTTAGTTAAAATAATTAAAAATGAATCCCACATCATTTTTAATATTTAAATAAATTAAAAGTTGGGGGGGGTTGTTTTGCTTCTTGCACTTTTAATAAACTTTAAAATGCCCATGTTTTTCCCTAAATATTATCGAAATCGAGACTTTTAGAGTTAAAAGTCGGGACAAGTAAAGTGATGTAAAAAAGTAAACACGTGATGTAAAAAATTTGGAAATTTAAAATTAAATAAATAAAATGATGAAAATAATTAATTTAAATTTTGAGTCAGGAGGAAAATTAATTTAAAATTAAACTAACTAGAAATATAGTCTTCCAAATTAAAATGTTTCAATTTTGATGTAACTTAATAACAAATTTTTTATTAAAATTCAAATTATTGTCAGGCATTGTTAATCATTAAATATTATACCGTAAAACTTTTATTAACTACTCTGGGTAATTATTGTTTCAACAATCCGCTAGAGGGAGTAATTAATCGAGGGAGGGTAATTATACGAGGTTTGGAATTTGAACATACTTTAAGCCATTTGATGGGGGGGAGTGGGTAATATTGTTTCAATCTATCGCTGGATGGGGTAATTATTTGAGGGAGAATACATTTACATTGAATACATTTACATCAATTGGGAAAAAACCTAAGCTAATTACTTTATTTTAGAAAAGTGATGTTCGAGCCTATAGGGCAAGAACAAACAAATATATTTAAAAAAAATACTAAGATAACAAAAAATTGCAGAAACAACTGGTTTACATAGAAAGTACTTTTTTTGTAAATAATGATCGTCGCTACGCTATACTGTCAGCGCCTTTTATTTTATGGCGCGGTATTATGTGCAATTTACATTAATCAAAATATATATCAACTTACACAAACAGCAAGTAACGGCCATTATGAACAGAAAAAATCATTTTTTTTTATTAAAAAGCAGGTTGATAATATTAAAGAAGTGCTAGGTGTTACGGGGGAAGCTTTTTAATGACGTTAAAGTATTCCCCAACAAAATTTAAAAAAGACAAACAAATCTCCTTCAATTTTTTTAAAAAGAATTATCAAAAAATTGTAAATAGACTACAAGATTAATTTAATAATTTTAATTTTTAAATTAATCAAAATTTAAAGGTCTCAACTTCAAAGGCCTCTCTTTTAAAAAAAAATTAAATGCTTTTTATTTGCTCGTGTAAGGGTTCCCCCTCCTTGCCTTTTTAGTGCAAAATATAATGATTAATTGAATAAATAACCATACAACAATGAATATAAGCATTAAAAGGATGACGAGCGCAAATTCCAACCTTTCATTGACGCATAAGTTTTTAGCGTTGACAAAAGAATTTAAACGGGAGAGTGGAATAACGATATGTAACGATATGTAAAATTATTAAAGAAACAAATAATTTTCAGCTTTTAATTTAAAAAAAACATTAGAGATTTCAAGGAAACAAAAGGAACGATGATTCCAAGCTGATTTTTAGACAAATAATTTTATTTTCGAACGCTAGTATTATTTTCGAATTTTTCCTGAATTAATGCCTAGTTTTACTATAATCATGGCAAAATCAAAAAACTTGAAATAAACGAGCTCTCCTTCCCCAAAATTTTTTACCATAAAAATCAAATCACCTATTTTTATTTCGAAAAATGCCTGCTTAATTTTAGCTTTTATTTTAATAAAAATTTTTTTCTAAGAATTTCCTAATAAAATTTAAAACTCGATCGATAGAAGTTTATCCAATGAAAAATATGTTAAGATTGTTTACTTAGGTTAAAAAATAAAAATACAATGCGTTTCATTTACTAATGAAAAAAATATTTTTTTATATGTAAAGAAAGTTGGGTTTGAAATAAAATGTTAAAGAAAATGCTCTTTAAAAGCCCTTTAATTCTCTTAAAGAGAAAAATATTTTTTGCGAAAATGTCTCCAAAAATAAATTAAAATAATTCAAACCCAACTTTTACTTTAAACATTACAAGTCAAACTGACCCACAAAAAATAAGATAAACTTCTCTTATCTCATTCAAATTTTCTTTAGTTCTTTTTCAGTCACGACGACGCTTGTCCTTTTCGCTTTTGTCCTTCAATAAGATCATAACATAACGGAAGATATTGACAAAATCGACAAAGAGCATTACCTAAATAAAATTTGGTTGTCATGGAAATGTTAAATTAAAAGTATGCTTAAAAACTAAAGGCGAAAATTAACCAAAGAACACAAAATTTGTGAAAAATATAGAAAATAAAATTTTCTTTCCCAAAAGCTTATCTCATGCTACAATCGACTATATGACAAGGGGGATTCCAGAAAAAATTTTGTGGGAAGGAATCGGGCCAAAAAACTTGTTTCGTGTCATGAAAGTTGTAATGATCAACCATTTAACGATTAACCCGTCATTCAATAAAAAAGCAAACCGTGTGCCAAATATAGTCCTTATCACCGCGACGGCATTTCTCAGCAATCAACTGTGTGTCATACACAACAAATCCACAATTGATGGCAAGTCCAGCCCAAATGACAGCCGAGCGGACATATGGAGAATATGGCGCGATCAAGGAGGTAATCAACAAACAGAGAAGTGCCGATGAAAGCATTCCTGGAAAACATTAAATTTTGAAAATAAAAATACCCAACCTCCCAAATAAAGATATTTGGTCGAATCCGCGTGAAGAGCCATCATTGTAAAGCATCCAAACACAATCTAAAAGACAAAAATTAGGTATGAATTAGGCAGATAATGAAACCATTGTGATCAGATAAGCATTAAAAACAATTGACGGATCATCAGCGCCAACATATTCGATAAGAGGTCCAGTCTGGATACCAACAAGGAAGCTTAATCCAAACATATAAGCGAGACGCTTATTCTCGTTAAAGGAATTAGCCTCAGTCGATACAATTGCTAAAAATAGGAAAAATAAATTTTCAGAAAAATAAAAAATAAAAAACAAACCAATCATCAACCCAAAAATTCCCAATGTAAATACAAATTGCATCGCTTCAAATTGCATTACATTGTTGAAGAGAACCCCAAAAACGGCACATCCCAAGGCAAGAGCAAGAGTCCCATAAACATTTTTGAGGTGGTTACGGACGTCTTTCTCACTAAAAAAATAAAATAAAAATTTAATTAAAAATTAACAAACAGTTTATTGGGAAGTGATGTAAAGATACGATGAATATTCCCAAAAACGTCGCCGGTAGAATCTTGATAAGTAGTTGTCATTGTTTTGTTTTAATAGAAAGTTTTGATTTTATCTTAAAAATATAAATTTTAAAAATTGAAATGAAAATTTCAAATATTTATGTAAAAAAGAAAATTTGAAATAGAGTCCACCCGGAGGAGTGGGAGATATTTTTACGACTAATATCGAGGAAAATCGTATCGATCAGACCTTAAAGTATTAACCAAAGTAAATATTTAAGAAAAAAACAAAAAAAATAAAATATTAGAAAAAACATTCGAATGATCTCATATTTTTACGTTTGGTAAACGTAGCGTTAAATATTCTTTGCTTCTTTCATTTCCAGATTTCCTCTATTTTCCATGGCAACAATCGATTTAAAATCAATTTTTAAAGGAAATCGTTTTAGAAAATATTTTTTATTTAATTTTTCGAAAAAGGACAATTGAGTACCGACGGTTGAGTCCCGGAGCCATATGGTGAACTTTTTTATCGAATACATACATATTTCTAATACCATTCAGAAACCTTTGATTTGCTAGTTTGTTAACTTATTTTTAATTTAAAAAATTTAGGACTAAAAACTGACATGGATAATCAATTTGATGAATCTGTTCAATTGGAAATTGAGTCAATTCTAGCTATTTTTCCTAAAGAAGTTTTTATTGAATCAAATTCTCGAATTATTGTAGAATATGAAAACAACGCTCATTTGCACATTCGTTTGCCTTTAGATTATCCAAAGTATGTTAAAATTTTATTTAATTTTTTTTAAAATTATTTCCGGTGTCTTTTTTCTAATTTTATTTGAAATTCTGTAGTTTAGTAATTTTCGGGCTTTGTAAGTTTTTAAAAAAGATACCTAAACTACTTTAAAAATTTTGGGGCAAAGGCGCAGCCACGGGGTCTTCTGGGGCTAACAATAAGCCCCCCCCCCCTCGAAATGGAGAAAAGGTTTTGGCGCAACCCCATATTAGCCCCCTGAAATCGACCCCATTGCTACGCTCTTGCTAAAAATAAAAAAAATGAATAATTAATTAATTTATTTAAAAACCAGAAATCCTCCTTTATTCGAACTTTCATCTCCAGCCTTAAGCAGCGAAAATAGAAAAGAATTGCTAACAATTTTGAATAAATTTTGTTCAGAAAATAATGGGGAACAAATACTTTATTTTTTAATTCAATGTTTTATGGAATATTTTTGTGATCTTGGAGAAAAAGAAAAGGAAAAACAAAAAATAATTGAAAAAGAGGAGGGGAATGATTTAACAATAAATATCCCTTTACCTTCTAATTTTTATTCTGGCAAAGCAATAGAAGATAGAAAAAGTGTTTTTCAAGGACACGTAACTAAATTGGATTCAAAAGACAAGGTTTTTTTAAATTAAAAATTAATTTTATTTTAATTTTTTAAGGTCCCAAAATTACTTGAATCATTAAAAACTGTTGGAAAAATTGCTCGTGCTAGACACAATCCATATGCTTGGCGTATTGTTAATGATGCTAAACGAGCTATTGAACAGCACGATTGTGGTAATTTATTTATGTTTATTTTAATATTTTATGAATTGGGAATTTTTTGGTTTTAAGGGCCGTTTTAGATAGCCGATAATTTTTTGAGTTACTTTTCTGGATATCGTACTTGCGGCCTTTTTGGATTTAAATGGTCATACTCTTGTCCAAAACAGTGTGACTACACTGATTTTGATGTTATTTATTTAAACTTAAAGAATTGAATTGAATGACCTATCTTTTTCAATTCTTTTAACTAAAGATTGTTTTTGCTCTCCCTCGGCTTTTTATTTTTCAGGAGGCAATTAAAACCCTTAATTAACTTTTTATATATTTTCTAATTTTTAATTAAATCATTTTTAGGTAATAGTTAAGGTTGTGTTACCCCTTTTTTCTTTCCTAATAATGTACATAATGGTCAGACTTCCTTTCTTGATGTTTTCCCTTTTTTCCTAAAATTTTCTCTTTTGCCGTTGACATCAATCAAAAAGGGTTAAATTTTATTCAATTTTTTACCAGAAATTTGAAAAAATGGGTAACACAAACTTAACTATTACCTATTTTTATCTTAAAATCTTTTAATTTAAATTTCTTTTTTTAGATGATGATGGAGAGACTGGCTCAGCTTCTAAATTACTTCGACTTCTTATGCAAATGGACGCTAAAGACGTTCTTTTGGTTGTTAGGTAAAAATATTTTTTTTTCAAAATTTTTATTTGATTTTAATTTTTTAGTCGTTGGAAAGGCGGCAATAAAATTGGACCAGATCGTTTTAGGCATATTTGTAATGCTGGACGTGATGCATTAATTTCTGGTGGTTTTGTTGTAGTAAAAGGAGAAGGCGAAAAAAATATATAGCAATTAAAATATTTTTTTGAAAAGTAATTTTTGGGGGATTTTTTTGGATTTTTGAGTTTAAAAGCTAAAAATTTTTCCTTTTTTCGCCTTCCTATCTTTGTCCGGTAATTCTTCGGTTGTCGCCCCCCTTTTTTATGTTCTATTTTTTTTACATTTTCCATGAAATTTCTATGAACTTTTATGTACATTCGAAAGAGCACTTCAAGCTGTGTCGAACGGTACTAGAATCGTCGAAATCTGAATTAAATCAACAAAGTTATGAGCAATTGTTTTAATCCCTTTCAACATCACAAAAAACATGCCCACAAAGGATTTAGCTTCATAATTTTGTTCAAAATTGCCAAATCTAACCGATCATAGTACCAATCAACTCAGCTCGGATAGCTCTTTCGAATGATATATAAATTATTATATGTCAAAGCAAAAAAGCTCAAAAAGGTCAGGGAAGCATAAAAAAGGAGGGGGGCGACAACCGAAGAATTACCCTTTGTCCTTATATAATTGGTATATTTAATAATTGACGAGTATTGAATACTAAATTATTAACTATCTTTTAAATTAATTTTTTGTACATAATTATTTTGGTTTTTAAAGTCAATATTGACCTATAAAAATTATATAAATTTTCTCGAATTTTATTTATTAAAACAACTTGTGTTTTTTGCACATTTATCAACATTTTAGTTGGAATATTTTGAAAATTACTGTATAGAAAAACAATTATTAATGTCTCTTCGATTAAAAATTTATTTTAAATTTTCATATTTTTTAAACCTTCCTTGAATTTTTAAATAGTATCCGTTTTATCCTCTGTATTGCTGTTTTACCCCAAGAATAAATTAACTGAAAAAATTTGAATAACTTTATGTTAGAAATTTTAAAGTTTGATAGAAATTTACCAAAGAAATTAACAAAACAGTAAAACTAATTCCGACAATAATAATAAATGGAAAGCGATATTTGATTAAATCATAGTAGCCAGGATTAGATTTGATTGTAACAGTATACCTTGAAATAAATATTTAAAATAAAGAATACCTAAAAATACCCGTGTTCTGCGCTGTAATGGCCAAGTAAACTTTGCATACATTCAAATTTAACCATAACAACAGGAATTTGGATAAGTTCAGCAAATTTGCTACCCGACATTGGATTGGGACTTTTACCCTTAAAGTTGTATACAATCAATGCTTGGTAGCCAAAAGGTTTTGCTTGTTGAACATAATAAGCCTAATTAAAAATAATTTGTTTTTAAATGAGAGAAGAATATTAAACTAAAAAATTTATAGGCTATTTTGATTCATAAAAATATTTTGATTCCCGTCCAATCACTTCTTAACATGGAAAGGTTATTTCAAAATCTTTTCTCGAATTTTCAACAATCGAAAAAGTTTTAAGATATTAAATAACCTTTTCAGAAAAACTACAATTCCCTCGTGACACAACGGCAAAATCCACAACACATTGACTTGTTGAATTCAAACGAGGCTTCTTTTAATAAAAATAATTTTAAAAATAGAGATGGGTTACTTCAACATCAGAACAAGCTAATGGAGGTTCTGTTGGCAAGGCACAACCAACAGAATTCATTCCAAACAAGAAAGTAGAAATGTCAGTGCCAAAATTGGCCGCAGTTGCATCACAGTGGGCAACCGCTCGATAGCCACCCAGTACCGTGTATTCCAACTTAAAAATAATTTTCACATCCATTTTTTAAAACATACAATTTCAACCATATACTGGCCAAATACACACATTCTCGAATTGTACAAGACAAGAATTAAATAGAAATATACCGATAAAATATGTCGAAGACTTTTTTCAAGGACAATAAACATTCCCGCTAGCTATGAAAAGAATCCAAATTTAGGTATTAAAAACCAATCCAATCTATCTACTAGCGATATCTTGATTCGAAAATCGTGTTCACTCAAACAAATTATGAGTCGGTCGGTATGTCAAAAAATTTGAAATTATTTGTTTTCACATTCAATGAAGAAAGGGATAATACAACGAAATAAATTTAATATTTACTATGTCAAAATAATTTATTGACAATTTTATAATTTATTAAAGAAAATTAACCAAAGAAATTTAACAATAATTAAAGACAGACATTCTCATCAATTTTAATTACTGCCAGACAGTGTAGAACTCGTAAATATCCGCCGGAATTTTGTTTTTGCGTACTTAGAAAGTAATTACACTTTTATTATTTTAATTTAAAATTAAAAAAAAATGTTTGAAAGGTTGTCTGCCCCCTTTATTTAATTTTAATTGTTAAACTTTCCAAACAAACAAAGTTGTTTGTTTGACATTTGTTTGTATTTTCAAAAACGTCACAATTTTTGTTTTTTTTATGGCCATTATTATATTGTAAATGGACACAAACTTTATATTTAAATTTATAACGGTAGTTATCTTTTATTTGTTTATTGTTAAATATTTTATTCCCAAAAGTTTGTGAATAACTATTTAATGAATAGAAAGATCCAGCCGGCTAGCATTTAAAACGCTCACTAGGCGGGGGTTTAAGATCTAATAAAAGAAAAGAGGTCGCAGTATCGAAGCCTGCCCGGGATTAAACTTTTATTTCGTTCTTACTCTATACTTTCTGTAATTTCTTACAAATATATTAAATCTTTATCAACATTATTCACCCAACATTTTCCCCTATTTTTCGTTTTTTAAAGTTTATTAGGTAATTAGGTATTACTTCTTAATTGTTACTTTTTATTTGCTTATCTTTTATTTCCTCTTTAAAACCGGAAATAATATTTAAAACCCACAATTAAAATTGAATTCTTTAAATTCTTTATTTGTATTTATTTTTTTCTAAATTAAATTAATTTTTAATTTAAAAACAAAAAATTCACCCTTTTTTATTCTTGATCAATAAATATTTTTTTCATTTGTTTTTAAAACTTGAATAAAAATAAACTAAATTTTTTTCGAACATTTTTAATTTTTGCATTTTTTCTTCTTAATAATTTTTGAAATTTTTAATTTAAAAAATTAAATTAAGGACAATATTAAACATGTAATTAATTAATTTTGGAATTAAATTCTAGGTGGCTGTTGCTATCTCCAAACTACACAAAAAATTATCGTTAATCTGATTAGTAAATTCTGACGCACATTAGTATTTATTAGGGAAACTTTATTTATTTATTAGGTCCAAATAAGTAACTTCTAAGAAAAAAACTCTTAATATACAGGTCAAGAATTGTTATTGACTTTGAATTATATTTTAAATTAATTATAAAATTAATTTTTGTTAGAAATGACAATTGTGGAGAATTTAAACGTTGTTAATTTAAATTCTGAATTAAGTATGTCTATTTTCAAATGATGATTTTTTTGTTATATTTTATCCTTTTTGAATACTTTAAAATCATAAAAAGTTTAAGATTTACTTTGATTTAATATTTAAACATTAAATATAGATTTAAAATATTTTTTATTCAAAAATCACTTCCGCAAATCATCAATTGCAATTAATAATTTTAAGGAAATGTTAGCGACCCTAATGCAGCAACGAAAGAAAAGTATTAATATTAAAAGAGAGAAAAACACCCAATTACTAGCTATTAATAATGATAGGAAAATTTCAGCCCCAGCTGTAATATTAACAACAACAAAAAATAAAATTTCCTCCAGCAGACTAGCCGAGGTCAACTCAGCTTTCGTCGCTTTGACAGCCGCGGCTGCCACTTCAGAATCTGATATAGTAGTAGATGAGACCACAACAACAACAATGCCAGCCATTACACGAAATCGTTGTTTTAGTGACACAAAAACTGCACACGTCAAAAGAGGAAAAGGCGTTTTTCTTCACTGGCAGCAATGGAGTAAAAGACAAAATCAGCAACAGGTTAATGACCAATATCAGCAAAAACACTGTACATTGGAAGAAGAAGAAACCAATCAAATCGATGATGCTTGTGTTAACAGCAATCAGAGTAAAAATATTAAAAGAAGTACTAGCAGTTTTGCTGCTTTGCGCGAAGAAGAAAAGGATGAAAATAATGATGAAGATTTTGTTGTTAATAAAGTGAGTCATTAAATAAATAAATTTATTTTTTCTGCTAAAATAATTTACAAACAATTTCGCGAATATTTATTAATTATGACGACCTCATTTACTATTTATTGAGAATTTTCGTAGCAGGAATTTTTTAATTAAAAAATTTTTAATTATAGAGAAATGGTCTCAAATTTAGAAATATTTAATGAATTGTTATTTTTTAATCAGAATAATTAAATTAATTAATTCCTAAATTAGGAAAGCTCATAAATCTTAAATAATATTTTTAAATATTTTTAGTTGTTGCGGAAATTTTATACAAAATATTTTTAAAGTTAAAGTCCAAGGTTCTTTAACACAAATACATATAATTTAGTAATCTGTTAATGTTAATTTCGTTGAGAATTATTTAGAAAGGAAAAACAATTAAGTTAAACCTAAAATTCTTTCCACTTTAATATTAATTTGAATCAGACCTGGCTTGGATACGGATAACATCCGAATAACCGCGGATATATCCGAAACGGACGGGTATGGATAATGTTTTTTAGAAATCGGGCGGATACGGATGGATACGGATATGATGCTCTAAATCCGCGGATATATCCGGACATGGATAGCAAAATCTGTATCCATGATCAGGTCTGATTTGAATTAAATAAACTTTTTTTTAAATTTTTTTTCTTCCAAAAGTTTCATTTAATTTTTTTAATATTATTTTTAAAATAATCCGATATTAAATATCTAGAATGTAAAAAGAAGTATGAGCACTTGTACAATGATTAATAACGGAAACGGAGATATTAACTATACAGAAAGTAACCGACAAAATAATCAACAAACAAAATTAAGATTAAAAAATTTTAAAAAATTGAGAGATTTGGGACGTGGAGCTTATGGAATTTGTGGACTTTATAAGGTAAAAAGAAATAAAAAATATTTTTTAATTTAATTATTTTCTAAATACAAGGATGAGAGAAGTATTTTAAATAAACAAGTAGTAATTAAAAGGGTATCTTTGGAATGCAAAAGTGAAAATGAAAAACAAAAAATTTCATGTAAATTTTGAAAAATTATTTTCGAATAAATTAATTTTAGACGAAGCTAATCTTCTTAGAAAATTAATTCATCCAAATATTATTCGTTTACAAGATTCTTTTATTGAAACAGAGCAATTATGTATTGTTATGGAATATCTTGAAGGGGGAACTTTGGATAGGTTTTGAAAAAAATTAAAAATAAATTTAATAATTTTTTAAATTAAAGAATGTTACAGGAAAGAAAAGGAATAAAAATGGGGCAAGATTTGATACTCTACTATTTTACTCAGGTAGAGAAAATATTTTTTTGTAAAAAAATTGACGAATATTTAATAAATTATGATAAAAAATTAAATTGAAATCTTTGTTTTGATAAAAACTTTAAAAAATGAACTTATAAAAAACTAACTTATGGCCTGCCCTAATAGAGGGAATTTATTACAAGGACAACCTATTAATGAGGGGGGAAATTTTACAAGAGAATATATTTATTGAATCTTTATTGTTTTTATTTAGCTAACAATGGCCATTGACTACATTCATGCAATGAAAGTACTTCATAGGGATATAAAAACACAAAATGTAATTTTTAATTTAAAAATAAAAAAATATTCTTTAAAAAAAGATTTTTCTCAATCGAAAGATGACAATTGTTAAAGTTGGGGATTTTGGAATAAGCAAAGTGAGCGATTTAATTAGAATTATTTACTATAAATTGTATAGTATATCAGGAACTTAATTCAAAATGTCCACAAGCATCCACAGTTATTGGAACCCCAAATTATTTATCTCCAGAAATTTGCTCAGGTCCTTAAAGAAAATATATTTAAATAGATAAATATTTTTAGGACGTTCATATGATGTAAAATCAGATATTTGGTCAATGGGTTGTGTTTTGTATGAAATGGTTGAATTAAGGAAAGCTTATGAAGGGGAATCGTTATCTTCCTTGTTAATTCGAATTGCTAGGGTTTGTTTTTGTGTATTTATTTTTAAATACTAAAATTATTAATATTTTTGTTTCTGTCACATTTTTGTTTATTTTCTTTGTTTTATTTTCTCAAATTTAATTTTTTAAATTTCTTTTCAAAACAATACATATGTATAATATTTAAAAAATATGTATATCTATAAGCATGGATTATATAAAAAAAATTTTAAGGGAGAACATGGCCCTATTTCATCTACAGTCACTCAAGATATGCGAAATCTAGTTGAATCTTTACTTAATATAGATGAGAATAAAAGACCAAGTACTACAGGTAAATCATTGAAATTAAATTTTTATGTCCGGGTATTGGAATAACATTAAAAACTGTATTTGTGTCTGTATAAAATATTTTAGTTTATCTTTTATCAACCCCTCACTTATTCAAATTTTAAACCTAAAAATAAAATAATTTCTTTTAGAAATATTGTTACGACCAATGGTTCTTCGAAAATGGATGGAAATACATGAAAATTTAGGGAGGATTGAGCCAGATATTGAACTTTACACGAAAGAAACGCATTCAGAAAAAGTAAAATAATATTATTAGAATTAAAGAGAAGGGAATGTTTTTTCTGTAAATAAAAGAAATATGTTTATTGTTGTTGGTTATTTTGTTGATTTTCAACAAAAAAGTAAAAATGTAAAACTAGAAACGTCAAATAAGAACAAGTTAACATGACAGAATATCACTGAATATATGTATAAATTAGCAAACTCGATTTTGAAAATTCAAAAGAGAAATAATTTTTATTCAGAAATATTTTTAATAAAATTTAATATTCTAGTAGAATAGGAAAAAATAGTAAAATCAAAATTGGAAAAAATCATGAAGATAATAAACTAGTTAAAACTACAACAAATAAACAATTCCAGAAATATTCTACAGAATTATTCTGATAAAGATTTCTGGGGAAAAATTTTTTTAGTAGAATAGGAAAAAATAATAAAATTAAAATGTGAGTACCGAGAAAATTGAGTAAAATCGAGGAAGAAAACCATAAAAAGTATAAAAATAAATTTTTAAAAATTTGACGAATAAAAATAAATTAAATAAAAAATTAACATAGTTAAATAAGAGAAATCGTTAAATAAGAGAAATCGTCAATAAACAATTCCAAAAATATTCTACAAAATTATTTTGATAAAGATTTCTGGGGAAAATTTTTTTTAGTAGAATAGGCCCCTCACATAAGGCCTCCGCGGAAAAAGTTTTTGCCGCTGCGGAGGAAGCCGGGCATGTCGAGCGGACGACGACGCTTCAAAACGGTCGCCGCGAGCGAAGCGAGCATCCCCCTATGGTTTTTCAATTTTGGGGACCTATAACTCACAAATCAGTCCAGAATCATTTCCTAAAGTAGGGAGTGGTACCGTTTGACTTAGCAGACGAATCGAACAACATATGTATGTCACATCCCGAACTTTTACCACTGGTACACTACACTTTAACCAATTTTTTAAATTCTTTAAATTCTGAAATTTCATTCAGTTGTTGTAGGGTGTGTCGTTTTGTAGGGTGTGTCAATGAAGTGTTCGAGTGGAATACTGCTGAGATGAACACATACACATGCATATATTTATTTCAGATATACATTTAATATCACTGAAATATGTAAACACATAGCTATTCAATTTTGAAAATTCAAGAAATAATTTTTATTCAAAAATATTATTTAATATTTATTAAAATGAGGCTAGTTTTGTGGCTTAAAAATTTTGAATTTAAAAATATTTTAAATTCTCTTTTTTAACGATTTTTTAATTTAATTCCTTCATATACTTCAATGGCTGTACAAACAGCTCCAATTAAAACAGAAGCGTGACTAAAAAATAATTATAAATTAACATTTTTTAGTCAAAGATTACCTCGATAACCCAAAAAGTAATCCAATCATTGAAGATTCCAAATCAGGCGCAGTCCATTGTGTAAGTAAAGAAAATAGAAAACCACCAAAGAGAACTAAAATTAATTTAAATTTGACAATAATTTTTTAACGTTAAATAAATGGGATGAAGTAGACATGTGCAATATAGGAGCTAAATTCAGATATATAGGTCCTAAAATAATTGCAAATTTGGATAGAAAACTCAAGTTTCTATCTAAATTCGGAATTAAAAACATTTTTGTGTATATATCTTCCCCTCTTGTTTATAATTAAAAATACAACGCTTAATTTCTATTTAAAAAAATTAAAATACAAATTCCAGATGTTGCTTTAATCGCTGGCTTGTTATTTCCAAATAATGAATTAAAGTCAGAACGTCCATCTGCCTGTTTATACCAACGAAAGCCAACAATACTTTATTAATTTTTATTTAAAATATTAATTTAGAGAAATTACCCAAGTGCCCCACTGCCAAACAATAAAGGAATTAAAACAAAAATGAAGCTAACTTCTCTCCAAGAAAGATATAAAGTTAAAACCTTAAAAATATTTACTATGTCATTATTTAATATTTTAATTTGTTAAAATTAACAAAAAAATATTTTTTAAATAAATTACCGCAAAAGTCAAAGCAACTAAATGTGCTGTTCTCAATTGTTGAATAACTCGATTATACGGGTCTTGTGTAGTAAGTCTGTCTCTAACTTCTAAAAATTAATTTTTCCAAATCCAAAATTTAATTTTAAGCACCTTTCTGAACTCTATCAGAAAATTTTTCTGCTTCCTCCTTTGCTTTTTCAAAAGTTTCCATTATTTAAAGATTTATATTAGTTGTTTTATTGTTTAAAATATTATCTAAATATTTATGTAAATATTAATTTAAAAAATTTTAAAAATTCAGAAATATTTAAGATTATTAAAAGCTAAAAATCTTTTGATACAAAGTAAATAACTGCCAAATTTTTTTTAAAAATAATACATATTTTCTCTCAATTTTTTATTTACTATTTTGTTTATTTACTCATTTTTTGCGTGTAAATCAATACTTAACGGCCAGTGTTTTTTATTTTGAATGGCTCTAAAATTAAAAAAAAACAAAATGAGTCATATTCAGGATGTAGCATAAAATTTTGAATTTATGCAGAAAAAAGCCAAAAAAATTTTTACTTTTATTAATTAAAAAGGAGAGCTCGAAGAAAAAGCAGATTACAAACAAATTTACATAAATCCTCTCAAGATTTGAGGCTAGTAAGTCTCTCGGCTCATAGTTAACCTAATCCCTTTCAGTTTCTTGATTTGAAATAAAAATCAATAAAACGTTAATATTTTTTAAATAATTTTCTTAAAAATAAAAATAAATGGCCCATGAACAAACATTTTCCTTGCCTTAAAAACAAGATTCTTTCGCAATCGACAAATGAGGACACAGAGAGCCCACTATCTCCAACAGTTAAAAACTCACTCATGATCAGAAACGATTCATGTATTTCTTTGCCTAGAGAAGAAAATATATTTTTTATTTAGTTTGTGACAGCTGTTGTTGTTTTAGTATCTTTTAGTTGGGCAGGTTTTTTCAATAAATGAATGAAAAGAAATAGAAAGTATAAAAATATTTTTGAACTATTAACTAATGAATTGTTATATGAAATTAACGGTAAAAACAATAATTTAAAAAGAGGTAAAAAATATATAGAATAAGTGGCATGATAATAAAGATTTGGTAAAAATATTTTCGAGTCTTGTTCTAATCGGGCCTTATTTTTTCGAGTCATTTGTTTCGGGCCTCATATTTATCTTTTTCGGGCAAAAATTCAAGGCCCAGTTGGAGAGCCGAACCGGGCCCCAACCCTAGTACAAATGGTTGGATAAGATTAATGCATTATTTAGGAAGAAAGATGGAATAAAAAACTAATTCAAATTTAAGTACTTTCTTCAAATCTCTTTTCTTCAAGTTTACAAGGAATGAAATTTGTCTTCTTCTAAAATAAATATTCTCATAAATTTATTAAAAAATTGTACTGACTTGATGACTCCAACCGAATACAACCGCTTGTGCCAGCCATTTCCAGGCCAGACAACTTTAAAGTCATCAAATAAATAATTAAATTAACAATCTTTTAAATTCAAATAATAATATTAATTGAGAATACGAATTAAATATCCATAACATTTTAACATAATTCCACATATATAATTAATACATTTTCTTTAACAATTATATCACTCCACTTCTTCAACACGCGTGTGCATCAGCGGGAAACGGCGCCATCCCCAGTCAGCACTTTTAAAAGTAAAATTTCCCTCGTTTATAAATAAAGCTAGGCGAATATTTCTAAAATATTAATAGGGAGCAGAAAAGTAGAGAGAAAAAAAGTAAAGAGAAAAATAAATAAATATTTTGTGAATGGGAAAATCTAAAAATAATTTCGAGGAAAATAATCAACAGACATGAAAACTTTTGGACGAAAATTTTAATTTAGATTGTTAATTAAATATCCCTGTTAGGATCAGATTAGTATCAGTTAGTCACTAAAGATTTTATAATAACTAGTCCAAAGCAGAGGTGAATCGGAAGTGACAAAGGTGCCGGAAATCAGAACTGTCGGAAATCAGAATTTCGATTCACCTCTGGTCTAAAGTATTAATTTAAATTATAAACTCAAGAAAATTTAATTTAAAATTCCAAAAATTCTTTTATTAATTTTAATGTAAAATGGCTAAGATATAGTGAAATTTATCTCGTTGCAATATTTAACCCTTGACAATATTTATTCTTTTATTTTGGATTCCAATTTCCAACAGCTTCACTGTGGGTAGCGTAACTAAAAAAATTTATTTAAAATTTGTTTTAATCCACTTTGTTAAAATTTTTTAAATAAATTCTCTCTTTAATATACCTTGGAGGTGTCTTACTGGCAGGTTGTGATTGAGAAAGGAAATTACGCCTTCGTCTAACTGGATTCCAATTACCAACATGTTCTTTATGTGAAGCATATCTAAATAATTTTTAAAATAAATAAATAATGAGGATGTTATTATTTTAAATTAATTTTTTAATTAAATAAAATTTATAATTAACATTGTTGGTGTTCCCGATTGTTTTTCAGCATTGGAAATGAATTGAGCATCTAGTATTAAATTAGATAAAAATATAAATTTTTAAATAAAATTACCAATTAAAAAACTTCCAATTAGAAGAAGCAAAAATGTAAAACAAATGAAGAATTTCATTTTAAAAAATATATTTTATCCTTAATTTATTTACTGAAATCTTTAATATATTTATGGTAATAGTTATAATTCCTTTGTTTTGTTAGGTATTGTAAATAGGTATATCCTTTGAGATAGAGGTGTATCTCTGATAGTGTGATCGCTTAAGTTACTTCCCGAACCAAAAATATATTCAATAAGTTTGACTGTATATTTTATTTAGCCTAACACAAGTCCACCTACATTGGGTTCTAATTATCGTGTTTTAACTAAACGAGGCAGTCTTTGAACTCAAGACTAAATAATATATCCATAGGTAGGTTCTGGGATTACAACTAAATTTTACCTTATACATATTAAAATGAATCTAAATTGTTTTTTAAAAGAGTAATTATTATAAAAATGAATTGAAATAGGTAAAAATTAACCAATTTTTAAATATATT